AACTGGCGAAAATCCCTCTCAAGGTGCCCCTCCTTTCCACATTTGCGGCATGCTTTACCAGATCTGCAAACCCCAGAGTGAGCCTTCCAGCACTTGCCACAAGTGCGGCCCTGCTGGCCTCCCGACCTAGAATCAACAGTCTTAGACCGCTTTGGCACCGACTGCGACTGTGCTGGGGCTTGCCTCTCCTCCTGTAACTGTAACTCGATTTCAAGCTCACACCGCCTAGCGGCCTCCTGTAACTCTAGTAGTGTATCACAACGCTGGATAGCAACAAACTGACGAATGTCAGTCTTGAGCATGCTCAGATAATGTGTCATCTGATCCTACTCAGAAACAAACTCTAGGCAAAACATCACCCTCTCAGTGAACATACGGGTGATCTCCGTCATCGTCTCCACACCCTGCCTCAAATCCAGAAACTCCTATGCCAGTCGCTCGTGCTCAATCCATGGAATGTATCTAGCAAGGAACATATCACTAAACTTCTCCCAAGTAACCGAAACTCTCTTATCATCCGTGTAGGCCCTGTCATCAACCTCCACCAGACCTTTTCCTTGGACCTCAGCAAGTTCAGGGCACATCTGACCTTCTGGTCAGCAGGACATGAGGATGTAAAAAAATGTCCCTCCACGTCGTACAACGACCTCATGGCTACAATCGGGTCCTATACCCCATCAAAAGTTGGGGGATTCGTGTTATTGAAGTCCCAGTACTGAAAAGCCCGACTGCTCCTCCTCCTGCCACAGTTACTGTTGTTGTAGCTGTTGCGGCAGCCGTCTCAAAAATGGATGGATAGTGCTCGTCAAAATACTCAACCATGGTGGTCTTAATAGACCCACATATCTCCGATAACTGTGCCCAGAACAGAGTAGCAACCTCATCATGCAGGATCTCTCGAATTGTGGCGTCCAGCTCATCCGACCGCATCTGACCAATGACATTGGGCACTGCTGATCCCTCTTGATTGCCATCTCCTGATCTTGATCCGGATCCAGTCACAAATTTTCTAGTAACCACCATGCTGAAAATATACCAAGAAGATATCAAACATTCCATATAATAATCCAGGAACCAACTCCCTACAAAGCCCTAGAGGTTGTGACTTCCTTGCTACGCGTATGGCTCCTGTGCTTTCAGTAGTATGGGCCCATACTACCTTCCACACCTACACATATTTGTTTCAACTATCATCACAACACCCTAACAATATACATAAGCATGGCGAGCGCTCAATCCTCACTCCTTCAGGAATGCTAAATATCTCATAACTGGCCTAATAACCCCACACAACCCACCTATGAAACTTCCACCAACCCTACAACACTCGTGTGTGCTAGCCATACATAACTTTAGACCCTATAGACTTTTGAATACGTGATCCTACCTTAAGCCCTTCACCAAACAAGAACAGGAAATAAGGTCAAACCAAACATTGTCCGACTATAAGATCTTAATTATGTACAGCCGTGATGCATACACTAAGCAACTAAAGTAATGATGTCAATTTCATATAAAGAAAAACCCTAGTCTATCAGGCATCATATAATCAGACAATTATATCATGCAATTCCTGCAGATCCCTAACCTAGTACTAGCATGTTGTTCTAACATATCACAAAATCAAACAATCCGTAAGGTATTTTGGGGTCTACTTATTGGCTTCGGCTGATCGTACACTTAGATACTCCTTTAGTATTTTGAAAACCATTTGAAAAATCATTTTAAAATCTTGTCCTTAGTTTGAGACTAGAGACACGCGAGTGTTTTCTCCAATTCACTCAAACCAAGGCTCTAATACCAGCTTGTAACACCCATAGAAATCATGCCAAATTAAAACTTTTTAAATCATTCAAAAACCAATAATTATTACAAATTTGTTTTCAAAATGATTTCATATTAGAGTATCCCAGAATGAAATCATAAAAACATAAGGAGGTGCACGATCACACCTTCTTTTTCCCGCGATCATCAGAAGCACATGAAACATAATCAACAACTGTAAGCCTAAGGCTTAGTAAGTTCCCCCAAATATAGTTCCAACTCAAACACCTACATCCACCAATGATCCACTTCTATAAATTTCCAAATTACTAAAATACCCCCAGAAGTCAAACTGCTCAACCCTTGGTGAAAGTCAAAGTTAACGCTCAAGGTCAGCGGTCCATGTTGACCTAACTCGTCGAGTGTAGCCCACTAACTCGTCGAGTTCTTCAGAACTCGAGAAATCGTGAAAAACCTAGTTGAATCGCCGAGTTTCCAAATAACTCGTTGAGTCTATGTGGAGTCTAAATGTCGGAAACACCCTAACTAACTCGTCGAGTCATCTTACTGACTCGCCGAGTCCATGCAGAAACCAAAAGCGACCAATCTTCATCTGACTCGTCGAGTTGACCATGAAACTCGTCGAGTCCCTTGAGTCCATTTCTCATTCAGATATTTTAAAGCTATCCGAAAGCTCAAAATTGTAGATCTAGCTTGCTAAGGCATAGTTACCACGTAAAGTTGCAAACTTTATGTGCATGCATGGTCTTAAAGGCCATAACCAAGCCAAAGAAGAAGTTTTAGCTAAGAAGAAGGTCATAACTTGCTAAAGACTAGAACTTTATGACTATAAGGGGCTAGAGGAGTCTAGATTAGAAGTTATTACTTAAGCTCATGCCCAACACAGAAATAACTCCACAACACACTAGCAATAGCCCTAAACCTTTACATGAAGATATCTAGCTATAGAGAAGTCAAGGTATCGACTTGTTACCTTTAAGACAATGCTAAGATGAAGTAGAAATCAGACCCACAAGCTTCTCCCTGCTCCAAGCTCCTTAGACTTCAAGCTCTCTTCACAAAATCCACTTTCCAAGCTTCTTAACACACAAAAATAGAGATTAGGTGCGATTAGGGTTTTTTGAGCTTAAAGGGGCGGTAAGGGAGGAAGAGGGAGGCTAATGACCCTTTAAATAGGGTGTAAAACCCTGGAAATTAGGGTTTCATTTCCAACTACTACTCGTCGAGTTGGGGTTCGCCAACTCGTTAAGTAGACCTCCTAAATCATGCAGCCTGAACCGCTTCTACACGATGAGTTGGGGGAATCCAACTCGTCGAGTAGGTCTAAGAATGTGAATATAAGCTTTAGTTTTTATACCTGAGAGTCGAGGTGTTACAAATCCACGACGTGACATTTCCTGATCCACAGTATGGATATGAGAACCTTCTCGATTGGATGGTGGCGAGACTTGCAGAATACATGTGTAATATGATTTCCATGGTGTTACGATCATATGGCCACGAAGTGGAAGATGATTTTTTGAAAGTATACATATCGATTTTTTAGGTCAAAATTTGGGAGGCATGAAGAGAGAGTTGTTATCTTTGATGAAAATCAACAAAAACCTCTAAGAAAACCCTTTGAGCCCTGATTTCAATTGAAGAAATAGATTTAGAGAGATTGGAGTAAAGATTCATCACTACTTTACTACTACGTGACTAGGTATACTGCCTATTGTGTTTAGTTGAGTAGAAGAATTAGAATATAAATTTGAAACTTGTTTTCAAACATGTCACACTGTTCGATCACTGTTCGCCACCACCACAGTCTGCCACCTCTATCTCCACTTAAACTTTAATGTCACTTGATCTCCCCCCCAAAAATCATACCAAAAATAAAAACCATACACACAATTTGGGTTTGTTCTTGAGTTCGTTTCTATCTGATCAATACACACACATGAAGCCAGATCTGAGGAACGCACAAAAAATTAGATCAGATGTATACACACATAGATACATGAAATTTGATGAACACACACACACACATGAAATCAGATGAACACACACACACACAATTAGATGAACACATACACATAGAAAATATGATGAAAACACACCGTAACCAAACCATAACCTGTTGATGAACAAATTTGAAGTAGATCTAACAACAAAAAGAAGCTTGAACGAAAAAGAAGCAGATCTACGTCACACCTTTCTCAGATCTTACATTGACGCCGAACAAGAAGGATTATCACCCTTAACCATCGTCGAGGTCTGAACATCTATTTTCTCATCGTCACCCTTGATTTTCACCAGATCTAGAAGACGAAAACCCTAACTGAAGAACGAAGTTGTCGTCGAAGAAGAAGATTGTCGAAGCTTTCGTCGTTGCTACAAACCCTAGCTTCGATCTATGTGTTGCCACATGAAACATTTAGGGTTAGGTTTTCGCTGTTGGAGTTTGCTAGAGAAGACGAACAATTTGACAGTATATCTAGGGGTGGTATCCGATGACCTTGTAGATTTGACTGGACGGAAATGAAAAGAGCAGTCTTTAATGTTTCTTCACCCAGAAAACCACTTTGCTTGTACCTCACTACTAAATTAACAAGTGTTTATTCAAGTGGTTTGTAAGTCCATCCAAGCTTTTGTAATTTATCGGATGTAACTAAAAATATCCCATTTGGATCCGTAAATTTGCAACCCAATTGAAGTAATGTGTGTATGAGAGAGAGATGTATTTAATGCTTCTATTTTTTTATTTCTATAATAAAAAAAATACAAAGGGCAAAATTAGTATTTTAAAAAAATTCAAAATAAATTGTACCAATTTGCAACGAAACGAAACTGTTGGACGGTTAGTACTAATGCAAACTTGAGACTACAAGTACAATTTTCAACGTAACAGATAATTATTCTTGCAATCTTTTCTTAAAAAAAAAAAAATAAAAAAAAAAAAAAAAAAAAGCCGGGCGCAATTAACCCGCCGTATGTATTTGATGCTGAAAATTCTGATTGGTACTTCTAACATAATAATAATTGAAGGAGAGACCCACACGCACAAACAGCCGCAATCTCTTACCATATCCATACATTACCCAATTTAATATAGATGTAGATCCATATAGCAATCCAATAATCATTCGTTTCATTTGTTGTCTTCCAATTCTTTTAAAATAATGGATGACCGAGAAGTCCCCCACTATTTCATTTGTCCAATTTCTCTGCAAATCATGAAAGATCCGGTGATTGTTGCCACCGGCATCACCTACGACAGAGAGAGTATTCAACGGTGGCAGTCCCATGGAAAAAACAAGAGTTGTCCAGTCACCAATCAACTGCTACCCATCGCCTCAGAATTCACTCCTAACCACAATCTCCGCCGCCTCATCGAAGCATGGTGTGCATCCGATCGAGTTGTTCCAGCACCATCGAAGCAATCCTCTTTGCAGCTGAAGTTAATCGCCATAAACCTCATCAAGAACCTCAAGCTACAAGAGCTACAACTTGAATCACTTAAAACTTTCGAAAGTCTTGCATCCGAAAGTGAAAATAATAGAATTTGCTTCAAAGATGTTGGTGTTGTTAGAGCCATGGTTACCATCGTTGTTTCCTGTTATCAGAATGGCACAACCGTTGGTCTAAAAGAAGCTCTTAACGTTCTTTATCTTGTTGGATTTACTGAAGACGAAACACGCTCAGTTCTTGAAGAATACGATCGAATCCTAAATTCCTTAACATGGGTATTGGGGTTTGATGCTAGTTATAATGATACAACAATGAAACTCCACGCATTAGTTTTACTAAAAGACCTCCTCAACTACGGAAACTCGCATGTTATTGAGAGATTGAAGCTGGATTTCTTCAAGACGATTGTAGTTATTCTTAGACAACGAGAAACTAAGAATCTTGAAGAAAGAATCAAGGAGGGTTTACATGTGTTGCTTAGCACTTGTACCTGGCCAAGAAACTGCTCGATGATGATTCAAGCAGGAGCTGTTTTTGAGCTTGTGGAGCTCGAGCTTGGGTCGCCAAACAAGGAAACCACCGAGTTGATTATGGCAGTGTTGTTTCATTTATGTTCTTCAGCCGATGGGAGAGCTCAACTTCTTGGTCATGCAGCCGGATTAGCTATGATCACAAAGAGAATGGGGAAGGTTTCTCGTAAGGTTGATGAGAGAGCCTTGATGATTATTTCAATGATATCCAAATTTTCTGCGACAGATGGGGTGCTTCAAGAGATGGTCAGGGTTGGAACAGTTGAGAAACTATGTATGGTGCTACAAGTAAATGGTCGACATTCACATCAAAGGGACAAAGCCGGGGAGATCCTTAAAAGACACTCAAATGTGTGGAAAGACTCTCCTTGTTTAGATCTTACTCTCTTAACAAGGAATCCGAGGTAATTCAAATCATATATGTTTTCGTCATTAATCATTCATATTATTGGAAGATTTATTTTGTACTTTATGCAAAGAAATAAAGATAGTTATCATATGTTATATTTTGAAACTGTAAATCATACACATACAATAATTAGTTATGAGTAGAAGAAACCAGAAGAAAATATATCTATGAATAAAGGAAACTGTGATTGCATATGCTTTTTCACCGATTTCTCTTATTTCATAAAAGGATTCCCTTATGTTGGCTAACTAACAACCCAAAATTTCACAATGATTGTTGTTACTTTTGTATTAGATAGTAGGTGTGAAACCCGTATATTACACGGATCGATTAATATATATATATATATATATATATATATATATATATATATATATATATATATATATATATAATAAATATTTTTTAAAATAAAATTTTGAAATAAGGAATGACATTTTAAAATAAGTAATATATTAATTGCAATTTCGTATAATATTTATTACATTTGATAGTTTACTTATATAACTTATTGTACTAGGTTGCTTTTTAATTTTAAAAATTAAAAAAAAACCCTAATTGACATGTGGATATTATTTATTTCAAAAATACCATAAAATGAAAAGTGTTAAAATTTATGAGAGATTTACATGTGGCATAATGAATCTTCATTTATTAGGGTAGATTTTCTTTTAGTTATTTTTCTTTCTATAATAAATTATAACAGTTTTCTCTCTATTTTCTTTTTATTGTTAGCAATTAACAAGGTTGACGTATATCTCATCCAATTGGTTTATTAGCTGATTGTGGAAAACTTTTTATTGAACACCTGTTTCACATATCAATTTGTTAATATCTGTTTAAACAATTATTACTCGAGCAATCACTTTGAACGGTCCACTATACTTTGGGCTCAACTTACTCTATTTTCGGAATCGGATGACACCCTTCCATGGTGACACCTTTAGAAGCACGAAGACCCTAACCTGAAACTCAAGATTGTATCGATGCAAATCTGCATAACTTTTCTATCGAGTCTGCATAGTCTGCAGTCTTCCGCGCACCTACTGTATCAACTTAGTAGTCTTGAGTTCAACCTCTGTGCTCCTTATAACTCTTTGACCGACCTCACCCCAACAAATCGGGGTACAACATTTCCTTCCATAACACAACTCAAAAGGGGGAATATCGATACTAGAGTTGTAACTGTTGTTGTAGGAGAACTCTGCTGAAGGAAGATATGAATCCCAAATGCCACCAAAAATGAAGAACTCATTCCTTTAAGATATCCTCTAATGTCTGAATAGGTTGTTCACCCTAACGATCGATTTACGGATGATAAGTTGTGCTGAAATGTTATCGAGTACCCAGATCGTCTTGGAACCTCTTTCAAAACATAGAAATAAAACGATCATCTCTATCAGAAACCAAAGAAATCGGAATCTCATGGAGAGAAACTAGCTCCTAAATATAGATATTGGCCAACTTCTCGACTGAAGAATATTCCTGGTAGTAATAAAGAGAGCACTGTTGGTCAATCTGTCAACGATGAGCCAAACAGTATTGAACCCGTGGGTTGTCATCGGTAACTTAATAATGAAGTCCATGGTGCTTTGTTCCCATTTCCATAATGGAATATCCAATGGTTGTAACTTGTTGTGAGGCATATAATGCTCAACCTTGACCTTTCTACATGTCAAACATCTATCCACATATCATGGCACGTCGTGCTTCATGTAGGGCTACGAATAATCATGCCTCAAATCCTAGTACGTCTCCATCATCCCTTGATTGATCAAAAAATTTGATTTATGAGCCTCCTCCATCAATGGTTGTCGAGGCTCACCAAAATAAGGATCCGAAACACTGTAATGTAGAGTCAATAAACCTCGAATATCGATATCAAACGTTAAAACTGGACCAAATAGCCTATAACTTTTTAGGTTCTATTCCTTATTTGTCTCAGCTAACGCTCCCTTAATCATTTCCACTCATGAAGTCACAATGGTCATCCTTAATCACAGATCTCGAATAAGTATGCTTATCGTCATGCGACTTAGAGCATCGACTACCACATTGGCCTTAAGCACATGACAAATAATCTCGTAGTCGAAGTCGTTCGCTACATCAAGCCATTTATGCTGCCTCATAGTCAGATTTGGCTAGTCCATCACATATGTCAAACTCTTATGATTCATGTAAATGGTACACCAGACCTCATAAAGTTAGTGTCACCAAATATTAAAGGGAAAAACTACTGCCCCAACTCGTAGTCATGAGTTGAATAATTAGCCTCATGATGCTTCAGATGTCTAGAAGCATAAGTAATCATTCGACCAAGAAATAAAATTTTGGGTAAGTTTGTGTCCACTGACAGTTTGTATTGCCGAATACTTCTTATGAGAGGTGAGTTATCTGATCATAGGATGCAATAATGGTTGGTGTTTTTTTCTTTTGGTAAGTGTATTGTTGTTTATTGCTTGTTGTGGCCATCGTACTTGTGGTATTGGTTGGCTTCCAAAAATGGCCTAGGGGTATGTATGCTTGCTGGGATTGTTGCGTCCAAAATGCATGGTACTGTACATACAGGAACGGTGGTGGCATTGTTATGCATAGATGAACAGTATGTTATGTTGGTGATGTGATTGTTGCTAAATGTTTTTTGTAAAAAGGGTGTGGAGACTTGCATTATTAGCTCATTATCCCTAGGAGTTGACTTAGATGGCCTTTTGGACGTGTTTGGTTCTCTTTTGCTAGAGCTACTTGCTATTTCTACTATGGCTGAATTTATTTTTCTGGTTGTCATTGCTTCCGCTTGTGATTATCTATATAGGCTTTTATCGGGCTACACTTTTATCGGAGGAAGGTTCATTGTTGTTAGTGGAGATGTTCTTAGCAATGATGGAGTGGTGTTTGGTAATGCCATAACATTCGGGGTGAATGTTTGGATTAAATTGATTGGGCTAAAGAGTGACTATGTTATGGGACGTGAGGCTGCTTGCTTATGTTTCATGGTAGTTTCAGATGCCACCAATGATGCTATGTAGCTTTTGAAACTAGGTTCAATGATCTGAATAGTCATTTTGGCGATGCTATAGATGAAGTTACACTGCAAAATAACTAAACAATCCATTAGGAAATACTGTCAAGGTCGGGCCTCGATATTTCTCTCCGATACCCAAGTGAGATATCAGATATTAATGTCACTTTATTTTTACTAAAGAAGCTCTAGCCTTACCGATGTTTATCGAGATATTTATACACGGATGAGAGGATCTTGGTTATTGCTATTTGGCAGATGATGGTGTTGTCTTGACATTTAAGGGTAGTACCCTCTAATATAATATTAATGGATTGTACATGCTACTTAGGATATGACACGTGTACTTGCCTTAATCCTGGATTAATATAATGTATTCTTTTGTCGATTGCAAAGTTAACATAGATCACCAACTAGCGTAGTGAGTCATTGGGTTACCGCCTTAATTGGGCCTTTCTTAATGTTGCCACATAGCTTTTATGTATAGGCTTATCCCATACACCATTAAGTACGACCCCTAATCATGTGATCAAAGCATCACCATAAACCACAAAGTCTTTAGCACCCTCGAGAAGTTTAAACACCGGTGCCTCACATAGCTTCTGCCTCAAAGTCTCAAATGATGCATGTTGCTTAGACCTATAATGAAAAGTAATACCCATCATCAAACGGGTAAGAGGAACTACGATCTTCGAAAAATCTTGACTGAATCTCCTATAATAACCTACTAGCCCAAGGAAACTATGAATCTCAGATGGAGTCTTTAGAGCCTACCACTACATCACCACCTTGATCTTGGCTGGCTCAACCAAAATATCATCCTGAATGGCGAGGAATCCCAAAAATTGAACCTCTTGCAACCAAAACTCACACGTGGAGAACTTGGCATACAACCTCTCTTTCCTCAATACCTCAAGAACCTCCTGTAAATTCTCCACATGTCTTAGAATAGACCTAGATATCATCAATGAATAAGACCATAGACCGGACAATCATAATCCTACACACTCGATTAATCAGGTCCATGAACGTTATCGATACAATGATGAGCCCAAATATCGTCACTACGAACACATACTGACCATAATGAGTTTGAAAGTTCGTATTCTTTACATCATCATCTATTACCCTCATTTAATAGTAGTCTGACCTCAAATTAATATTGGAAAACTAAGATGCACCCTACAGCTGATAAAATAAATCATCAATTCTTGATAGCAGATAATGGTTATTCATTGTAAGCTTGGTTAGTTCCCTATAGTCTATCCACATTCGATATGAACCATCTTTCTTCTTGAAAAATAGAATTAGTTATCCCCAAGGTGACCTACTTGGTCAAATAAACCCTTTGCCCAACAACTCCGGAAGTTTGAAGGATAACTCTTGCATCTCAGTTAGTGTAGGGTGATAAGGCACCTTGGCAATTGGGGTTGTACTAAGGATTATATCGATCCTGAACTCATCCTACCTATCAAGAGGCACACCAAGGAAATCCTTAGGGAAAACGTCTAGAAACTCGCAACTATAGGCACATTGAAAACCGATATCTTCTTCTCTTCCTGAACATTGCGAACATAAGCAAGATACCCCTAACAACCATGCTACAAATACCTCTTATCTCTTGTGGCAAAATAGAAATTTGATCTAAATATTGCACCCTCTCCATAAATGGTAAGATCTCTTCTAGTTGGGGTATGCACCATCATTACCTAACTCTAGAAATAAATTACCTCGAACCGAATCAACTAATACATGCCGAGAATCACACAAACATCACCCATAGGAATGGAAACATGATCCATCAGGAACCTATCACCAAAAATCACCAAAACGTAGTTGTGATATACTCTCGAAATTGTAATCGTAAGATCATCAACAATAGTAATCCCCAACGAACAATCCAGTGCCCCAAGAACAACTTTGAAGCTCCTACTAAAATAAAGCGATATAAAGGACCGACTCGCTCCAATATAAAACATCACTAAAGGAGGCAATGCATGTTTTTATAGAACAAACTACACATGTATACACTACTTTAATAAAAAATCTACACCTTTCTTCCACAACGGGACTAGTGTTGGGTTTTATGTACTCTAACATTCCTATGGTGCACATACACCCCTAATCCTTTGGATCTAAGTTTTCTCTAATTATACATGCAACGTTGGTTTCGAAAGCATGAAGCCTAAACTAGCATACAAAAATTTAACATATGAATCATAAAATAAGTTAGAAATTTACCTCTTGATGTAGCTAGTAAGATTTTACCCCTGAGAGAACTTAGCACCCCAAGTGTTGTGCCTCAAACAAGTCACAAACACCAAATAAACAACTAGATGGATATGAGAAAGGCTAAGGAGACTAAAAACCGATTTCCCTTCTTGGAATGCAATTAGTGGTATATTTTATGGCTTAGCACTATATATATATATATATATATATATATGTGTGTGTGTGTGTGTGTGTGTGTGTGTGTGTAGAATATCAAGGGTCATCTGTAACCCAAATCCATACACATTAGCCCATGACCCATCCATTTAATTTGGATAAATACTTCTTGATTAACCCATAAGCCCATCACAAATCAAACCATGGATCATTAGCCCAACTCATATGTATCAATTTAATTAGTCTCTTTTGATCACTAAATTAGTTCTTAATTAATTCTTGATCAATAATAAATAAATAATATGATTCCTCAATTAATATATCATACTTATAATATATTAATAAATCATAAATAACTTCTTACTCAAATACCCATCTATCAAATTGTTCTGGTGAAGGCAACCCGAAATGGACCATGCTACTATCGGGTCAAGTACATACCAATTATAGTTATGGGATTATACACCTAATCCAATAGTCTCCCACTTGGATAAGTCTAATAACTATAATTGCCAATGCAACTTAAAATCCGATTAGCAATCGTAGCTCTCAAAAATCTGATGTCGAACTCTGACGCGTCCATTAGATAAGTGACCATATAATCCTCTCTTCTTCAAGATATCAAGCGGACAAATACATGGAACATAGTCATACTTTTTGTCCTATAGATTGTTTCCTAATTTCTGATTTTTCTGACATAAAACATAATTGAACACATCAATTTACTTCTGACCGGGCCTGACATATAAGTCAAAACAAAATCATCAAGAGGCCCAAGATATCGCTTTTAATCCTCTTAGGATAAAAGGAACAGATAAACTTCGACTTATATGCTTGTACTAACTATTCGCTGAACCATACACAATTGCACGTTTTATAACATCGAGTTACCGATGCATTTTCATACTATCAATGTACAACCAACGAATAATTGACAACTCATATATCATGGTTTGAAGATCATATAATATTATCATCTCACAATCACCCATAATAAATTCCATGAAGTGATATGTGATCGTGGGTTTAATGCAATACTCAAATCTAATTTCAAGAGCACTCATGAATGTTTGTAGCAATCTTTTGATATGTCTAACACCTTAAACAATTATACAAAAACCCATTCATGATAGTATTCTTTCATAACCTACTTCCAAAGTATGATCAATTGTGGATAGTTTGAATAATCTTATTATTCTGGAAGTCAAAACATGCAAAATGAAACAATAGTAAATAACTGACACAAGACAGTAAAATTACATATACATAAAAAAACACATTTTTATTCAATCATCAAATGTCAATTACTTTTTAACTATTACAAGTTTCTAAAAGTCTATCTAATCATTAAAACTAATATCATCCTTCAGCTCGATTCTTCTAGCGTGCTGCAAGTGCTTGACCCTACTTAGTCCATTCGTAAGGGGATCTGTCAGGTTCTACTCTGACGATACCCCTTCATTATGAGGAGTCCTTCTTCTATTCGATGTATTATGAAGTGATATTTTCTGTCAATTTTCTTGGATCTGCCATGATCCCTTGGTTCCTTGGCTAAGGCTACCGTACCCTCGTTGTCACAGAAAATCTCCATAGGCTCCTTTACAACTGATACAACTCCAATGTCTCCTATGTAGTTCTTTTTCCATATCGCCTCCTTCAATGCTTCACTTGCTGCTATATACTCTGATTCACACGTTAAATCAACTACAATATCTTGTTTGGAACTTTTCCAAGTTACTGCTCCATTATTTAGGGTAAATATTCAGCTCGACTAAGAGCGGAAATTATCTGTGTCGGTCTGAAAGCGGGTGTCACTATACCTTGTCACTCTTAAGTCATCACTCCTACTGAGGGTAAGAACCCAGTCCTTAGTCCTCCGTAGGTACTTTAGAATGTTGTTTACTGCAGTCCAGTGAGCTTTACCATGATTCCCTCGATATCTACTAACCATGCTCAGAGAAAAGGCTACATTAGGACGAGTACATGTCATAGCATACATGATCGAGCCAACAACAGAAGTATATGGTATTCAAACCATTTCTTCTGTCTCAGCATCTATACTTTAACTTTGAGTCTTACTTAGTTTGGTATTGCTCTGGATAGGTAAGTCTCATTTCTTGGACTCCTCCATGTTGAAACTTTTCAACACCTTATCCAAGTAGGTAGTTTGGCTAATTCCTATTAGTCTATTACTCATGTTTCTCAATATCATTATCCCTAGAATATAAGTAGCTTCTCTGAGGTCCTTCATAGCAAAACACTACCTAAGCCAGGACTTAACCTCATCCAAGGCTGGAATGTCATTTCCTGTGAGTAGTATGTCATCCATATACAAACCAGAAAGTTAATTATACTCCCACTAGCTTTGGCATATACACATGACTGATCCTCGCTTCTTGAGAAACCAAACTCTTTGACTTTCTCATCAAAACAATGATTCCATCTGCGATATGCTTTCTTTAACCCATAAATGGATTTCTCAAGCTTGCACACTCTATTAGGGTACCTTGTATTGATAAAAACCCTCTGGCTGATTCATGTAAACATCCTTAGCCAATTTCCCATTAAGGAAAGCGGTTTTGAAATCTATTTTCCATATTTCATAATCATGAAATGTAG